GACCAATGTCCGATCAAAATTACTTTTGCTCGGACATTTGCCAAATTTAGTCGGACATTGTCCAATGTCCGACAGTAATTTGCAGCCCTGAATAGAAACATTTTCCCAATTAGACCCCTCCAGTCGTTTGGTGCTGGCTATACACTCAGGTGGGGCCCAACAGGGTTTGGGTGAGTGTTGGGTGCAAAAATTTACTGCCAGAAAAGGCCAGTGTGGAAAGTTTGTATTGATTGTATCTATATATTTACTATTAAATTTTCGAAATCTCGGCCGTGCAATTTCCAAACTTTCCAGTTAGGAGAAAAGGTGAGTATCTAAAACAATGTACATAGAACACATATATGCATGAATTCTAATATTATGCGATTTAGGTCAGACAAATATCACTTTTAATATATACACTTACACATTTGATACATTGGGATTTGCTGATCTGGTATCAGAAAAATAACTACAGGTCCAAAGCATTTAATATTAAATATGTATTAAATTCTTATTATATCCAACATCAAAAAGACAATTTCACGATAATAATTAATAGAAAAGTTAAGTCTTCTTTTTAATACCGCACTGCCAAGAAAATATCTGTTACAGACATTCTGTTGTTATCATTATTCATAATTTATTAAATAAAAACTAGAATTCACTCACGATCTTTCATTATTTTCCTGCTGCTGCATATGCCGATGCGAAGAAAGTAACTTTCCCTTGCTTCTTTGTATCAATTTGATGCCCATCTTTCCCCTCTTATGCTCGCCTGACGAAGTCATTACTTACTAGCGGCAACTAGCGGCTATATCTTGAAATTCCATGCACTAACTGTAAATCCTTAAAATTTCACATTGGCCGCCATCTTGGATTATACTGCGAAGTGTGCCACAGGGAGCCCAAGTTGCCAGGGTCATTATCAATCATTGAGGTTGGGAAAAATCCTTGCAAGTGGAAGCATTGATCACGAGGCCACAAAATTTTATTCCTATTAAGTTAATAATATTAACCTGGATTTACCAGTACCACTTCCCATGGGCCATGGTGAAACCATCGCCTGTTTGGTGCCATTTACTCATAGATATCTTATATACACTAGATAGTGCATCTAATTATTCTGAAGTTCAAAAATTGAAGCCGTGATTGCAGTCTCAGGTCGTTCCCATGAAATTAGAAGATTCGTATGTTTTCTATTTCTTAAACAGGGGACTTAAACATTAAGTTAACCCTATTCCAAATTCGTTTTTAAAATATTCAAATGATGAAAATTATTGTTGTTTTTAAGCGTTTATTAGCAAGTGGGAACGACCAACATGGCCGCCATCTATTCAAATGGGGGTAACCGCTGGAATATTGTTGGCTTCAATTTTACTAAAAGAGATGCACTATCTAGTGTATATAAGATATCTATGCATTTACTATACTAGATACTGTGTTTCTTATGTTGGAGGGCAGAAAAAACAAACTTGATCTACGCGGTAAGTTTTATTCGACTCTATAGTCTTAGTAGGCAACATAGTAGGCTGAATGATATATGAGATATTTTATTATAAAAACTACTAGGTATTATGCACTAGTCAATTGAAACCCAGACCCCCGGGACAGGGCGGGGAATTAATGGGAATGGCCATGGATTAACGCGGTCTTAATTCCCCCGTGGTGCAGGGTAAATAACAAGTCAATTTATTAGCCGGGACAATAGCCGGGACTTTAACACGGGGCTGACATGACGGTGGACTGGAACGAGTTTATCCTCGTGGCAACGTGGCGGAATCTTCGAAATCAGAGAATTGTTTGCACATAGTTTTTTTAATTAAAAAGGGAATATATTTTCACTTTTTACATATTCCTGATGGTGTCAACTGCAAGATACTTGAAACGTAGATTATTCAGTATCTTTTGATGCGGATCAAAGTTTAGGGAAAGTACATTTATTACACCGAGGGAGGGGGATGAAGATGTCTTGAAAAAAGCTCATATTTTTACACGGCCCCTGTTGAGGTTATCGGTAAATTTCGATGCCCCCCC